CGAGTCAGTATCATCAACTTCTAGGTTCCAACTGGACTGGGGTCTACGTGCTTGTGGTCAGCATACAGTTAACCTTTTCTACCTGGCGGGGGTCTTAGTATCTGCAAAACAGCTCAAAAGACGTGGCTCAGACCATAGTCCTTGAGGAAGAACTAAAGATTCTTGACTTTAATGGCTAATGATTATTCTGTCTTATTTGACATTTTCTTGCTCCTCTGATTAAAATTTATTCTTTGCCACCTTTGTGGAGGACATGGGTGGCGGTGGGGGTCTATTCAGGGAAGGCCTCAAGGTTCCTGCTTGGTTATAGTGAGGGGGCCGAGATAGGAGAAAGACAACCCCATTCAGCAAGTAGTTAATAAATACATGTCACTTAATCCAGGGGGCTGGTAATAACCCAACCACTCCAGCCCCATGCTAGGCAGAATGACTCCCTCCCTCCCTGGGCACATCCAATAACCAGTTCACCCCCCAGGACTTCTGAGATTGCCTCAGGGTCTTCTGTCTCCTTTTCCCTAAAGACAGCACATAGCCCAGTCCAGGGTGGACACTCTGGAATTATCTCATTAGTTCCTGTGACTTAGAATGACTTTAACAACAAGAGAGTTTAGAGCAGAACCACAGGACCTACAGGTACTGGAGGATTCAGGTCCAAACATGTTTGTGAGGAAAAGCAAAAATCAGTGTATACAAGACAACTTCCCAACAGCATCTCTTCAAGGAAAATCCCACTACATGCTTATGATCAATGATTCCTTGTCTGAAGCTGAAAGGGGCAAGGTTCTCACATGGACCAACTTTTCTGCCAAAATCCAGCTTACTGGAGAGAGAACAAGGATGAACTACATAACCAGCCTCCTGCCCAGGTACAGTTTAGGAATCCCTATAAAGTAACACTTCTGTTTCTGTGTAAAGGAGAAATACAATGTGCTCTTCTTGGCTCACTAAGGAGAACAGAATCTTAGAAGGCCTATTCTAGCCATATTAAACACGGGATAAAGGCTGAATACTCTGTTCCAGTAACCATGTGTGTGTTAGTTGGTCAGTTGTGTCCAAATCTTTGTGACCCCATGGACAGTAGCCTGCCAAGCTCCTCTGTCCATGGAATTCTCCCGGCAAGAATACTGGAGTGGGTTGCCATTTCCTTCTCCAGGAGATCTTCCTGACCCAGGAATCAAACCTGGGTCTACTGCATTCCTGGCATTCTTTACCATCTGAGCCACTGGGGAAGCCCCTCCAGTAACCATAAAGTACTGGTAAATATATATAAAATGCTGTTCCTTTCATGTGAGATAAGCATAATAATTCTAATTTCCTTCCACAGGGAAGAAGTTATAATCTTTAGAGTGCTACAGCATCATGGTTCTGTATTCAAGTGGGAAGAAGTTATAATCTTTAGAGTGCTACAGCATCATGGTTCTGTATTCAAGTAAAAGTCAATAATACACAATTATTTATGATGAGTCCCAAGTTCATCACTGAGACCAAAAAAAAAAAAAAAATCCAAACAAAACCAAAACAAAACACAACAAAAGCACACAAACAAAACAAAACAAAACACAGCTAGGAAGATAGGTTTTCAGTGGTGGAATAAAGAACTAAGATACACTATTAATGTGCTTTCACTAATGGAGATGAATTTGAATAAAACCACTGATTTCTTATAACTTTCCTTATTCAACTGCAAAAGTGCTCTCTAAAAGAAAATAATAATCTATACCAAAGACTGCTAATCTTTTTTTTAAACTCCTAGAAATCTATTTTGGGAAAGAGATGTAATTTCAGGCTGCTTTGATACTATCAAAGTAAATTGTTTTAATAGGAATTGGTCAGTTCAAGTTTTGACACATTTTGAAGGATAATAGGAATTTTTTTAAGGATATTCATAAAATCTGCAGATCTGTAACAATGTTATTAACCTTGACTTTTATTACCTTATTCTTGTAATCACCCAGTTAGGGTGGGTTTAAACAGAGAACCAGGAACAGGGTCCTTGAAAGCCTCTTTCCTCAGAGGGGTCATCTTACCTCACACCAAGTTAACAAGTCACTTATACCTGCCTGAAGCAAAATGAACCTGGGGAGACTCCAGTGCTTTTGCAATTTTTAAACGTTCTCCACCTCAATGCCCCCTGTCATCAGCTATTTGAATTTTTAGACTTCTACATTACTTGAGTCTGGCTCCTACAACCGATCAGAGGCAACAGTAGCCCTGGGTTCACTCCTGCATGGCCTCCCTTCACTGTTCTGAGCCTCAGTTTCCTCATCAGACTGCAAGACGCCTGGCGTGTCTGACATTGAGGAGGACCCAGCCTGCAACACATCTTAATCTTTTGTTGGGCAGAATTCAGCCCATCTTCTCTCAAATCCTGCTTGTAAACAGCATCACAGAAAATGGCCAGCTGACAAAACCAGGAATGCTAGAAAGAAATGAGTCAAAAAAATTTTAATGACGTGTCAAAATGCATCCCTGGCAGGTTTGGGGAAACCCAAGCACCAGACCCATCAGACCAGCAAGGGGACAGCAGAACATAGAATTCAATCTTACTCTCAAGTTGAGACAAAACGAAGCTGTAAAGCCCAAAACAAACATCATTAGATTGGTTCCGAAGTCCCCGGGGCTCCAATATTGTGTGTGTTTGAGTTCAAGTTAAGCCAGCAACTGATCAAAGGGGGTCTCTGAGCTAACACCACGGGAAGGATCTGTGGGTTGTGCTTTGCAGTTAGAGACATGGGGCAACAGCAGACACAGGAGCCATTCTCTCCAACTGCAGTTTCCAACAAAGAGACACGTGACCGTAACTCTGACCCTGAGTCACCATCTGCTGGCCTTGCTTCACCAGGGAGCTGAGAGGCTGCTACCACTGTCTCCAGCCCCGTGCTCTGCTAGTGTTCCGATACAGTCAACCATGTGCTGTGCTGCCGGCAAGTTCTAATGCAGGAGAATCTTGGGTGATGGTTGACACGAATGGCAGAAGTGAGGACCCGCCCCAGTTCAAGTATGTGTTTTTTGTCATGTTTGCCAAACTCTGCCTTAAAGGCATGACAGCAAAACTGACAAAAGAATAAAAATCCACACAAATCCTGAAATACGTGGCGCTTCTACATACAGGAAATAGTGCTGCATACCCACCCTGCCCCGGGGAGGACAGTGGCGCTTGCTTCTGCTCCTTGCAGCCCTGGAACAGGAAGACGTCCTGGGCTGGATGCAGGGCTCTACTTTGCCCCTAACTGTGCTCTGCGTCTTCTCAGGTGGTGCTAGTGGTAAAGAACCTGCCTGCCAATGCAGAAGATGTAAGAAATGTGGGTTCAGTCCCTGGGTCAGGAAGATCCCCTGGAGAAGGGAATGGCAACTCACTCCAGTATTCTTGCCTGGAGGATCCCATGGACAGAGGAGCCTGGTGGGATACAGTCCAAAGGGTTGCAAAGAGTGGGACACGACTAAAGCGACTTAGCACGCCTGCACGTGTTCTGGGTCAAGCTTCACATTCCCACTTTTTCCCCTTTACTTCCAAAATGTCTAAAGCCGCTCATGGCTCAGAAGTTGTTCTCGCTAACAGCAGTGATGGCAACCACTGAACAGATGCCTCTGGGCTCCAGGTACGGTGCTGTCAGCTTTTCACAAATTAGTTCCTTCAATCGCAACCCGAGAACACCCTTTTCTATCTCACTGTCTGGATGAAAAGAGTGAGGTTCAAAGTGGTTAACAATGAAGGGACCAAGCCAGGGCCTGACTCCAGGCCTGATTCCCAAGAGTCTTCCTTCCTCTGGACACAGCACCCCTGCATCCAGCCACTACATAGCAGCTCGTCCCCAACCAGACCAGAACATGGGGACGGTCTGGGGTAAGCCGGCCTATCTGAGACTCAAGAGGCCCACAGCATATCTCCATCTACCCCGCTGCCCTTCCTCCTGTTAACCGCCCTGGCCTAATCCTTCCAACACTTGTTCCAGGTCCCATTTCTGCTTCCCCTGTAGCAAGAGGTATTAAGGATGATAGTTAACACTGGTTAAAGGGGTGATTCTTCTCTTTTAAATTTTATTCTATTATTTTTTAAAGTATTTTTTAAAAATTTACGTGGCTGTGCCAAGTTTTAGTTGCGGCATGCAGGATCTTCGATCTTCGTTGCAGCGCGTGGGAAATTTAGCTGTGGCATGTGGGATCCAGTTCCCTGACCATGGATGGAGCCGAGCTCGCCTGCATTGGGAGCGCAGGGTCTTAGCCACTGGACTAGCAGGGAAGCCCCAAAGGAGTGATTCTTACCCTACATACAAGCGGCTGAGGGATTCGTGGGCAGAACCTACTCAGGTATCAGAAAGTGGCCCGGCTCTCCTCCTGCACAGTGAACAAGGACCGAGACCAATCTAACCAGGGCACTGAAACGGTACTATAGCTAAACAACGGATTCAGTTTCAAACGAGCTGGTTCCCTATAGCTCTGGTCACAGGCCACCCCCGAACCCCCAGATCTAGTCACCGACCAATCTGTCTTTGGCTGAAGATGAACTGGGTCAGATTGGACAGGCCAGACTTACACAGGAACCCCCGTGAAGAGCAGAAGTCCTGGCTGGGCAAGGGTTGTTACACACGAAGGACTGTTTGGACCGCTCCTGAGGGAAACACCGCAACTCACATATACATTTAAACCACACAAAAAAATCAACCCCCGTAAACTCTCTAAATGTCTAAAAAATGAAGTGATAAAAACAAATGCTTTCTAGTCTGATCAAGTTATTTTTTGACTTGTCACATTTGGTACTATTTCCCATACAAGAATATTTTAAGTACAATAATTTTCACTGCTACAGAATTAGAACGTGGGATAAGAATATATTTTATTTTTCTCATAGAAGTTCTACCAAAAATATACTTTTTTCTTAACTTAAAAATACACCTTTGGAAAGCAAAACTCGAGTTGTTACAATTCACTACATGTTTTACAAACAATCGTGAAAGGAAAGAGATCAACAGGATGGATTCAATTATTACATAAAAAAATGTTCATTTTAAAAGCTTGACCTTGTCCTTTAATAACTTCAGGGTGGGGTTCTTGCTGATTTTCTTGTTGAAGATGACTAGGAGTTCCTCTTCAGATTTGTGATATTCATTTGTCACCGCATAATACTGAGCTAAAACCTTCACAAAGAAGAAACATCGGTCAAATAGGTCTTTGTCCTGAAAATTTACCCACTGTGTTAGTTCTCTGACCCCCAGCATGGCGGACAGCAACAAATCAAAGAGCCCAGGTGCTGGTTACTCGGGGGGGTCCTGCTTGTAGCAATTCACACAGAGGCACACGTGTGACACTTGGCTGCCTGAGTCAGACACCAGTGAAAAAAAATTACAAAGAGGGGAAAAAACACTGTTCTGGAATAATCAAAAGACAGTAACATAGCCAGAGCAGTAATTTTCAGACTTAACACTGGTGCTGCCCTGGCTGAGGAGGTGTGGATGGGGTATGACTCTAGCCCCACCCGCACCCTGAAGGACCAAAAAACAGCAGCTGGAAAGTCACTGAGACATACACAAACCTACAAGTTTACAGTATTTCAGATGTAGAGAAAACAGAACAAAACCATACATTTTAAAATAAAGAACGGATTCTCCCCAGCTTATATACCTGATTCACACCCTTCATACCTTTTTCCTTAGCTTCTTGATTGTTATTTCATGGTCTGGGGCCTGTTTCAGAACTGCTTTAATAGTTCCCTTCCAGTTGAATTTGCCTACAGTGTAGAAAATAATTTGTAAACCACTGTGTTTGTGGCACTCCCAAAGGGCTAAGAAACAGCTGTGTGTGACAGATCCGGTCTCCCTATACCCCGGCCAACGTTTGGTGGTGGTGATACTTTTGTAAAGCTAGTTTTCGGTCTTGCCTCATTTCTGCACCACCTATTTGCTACACAGGAAATGAACAAGACCAGAATGAACTGGACGCCACAGTACTGTGTAGCAAGCACCTGACCTGTCCAATCACAGTGGCCAAGAGGCACTGACTATCGTCTGCAATACTCATTCCCAGCGTGACCAGAAAAACTAAGGATCATTAAGTACCACCATCCTACAAATTCCGGTAGAAAGACATGAATTATATCTAATGAATTCAAGATTTACTAAGGATCCGCTAAGATCAAGGGGCTGTCTAAACACAGTAAGCAAAGCAAAGGAGCTGAACCTTGAACCAGAGAAGACGGCCACCAATGACTACTGTTAGTAGGCTAGGGCTCATCTAGGGAACCTCTGCTTCTGGGAAGATGAAGACGAGTATGCGGAAGATACATAATGCTAATGAAAGAAATCAAAAGATTTAAATCAACAGACACGCCATGTTCGTGGCTTGGAAGACAACACAGTAAATAAAGTGATCGATTCCCCCCAAACTGATCCAATTCCTCTATCATCACGGCAAGACTTTTTATAGATATAGGCAAGATTATTACAAATCTTCTAATTTTGCAAAAGAACAAAGTGAGGATAAGGCTACCCATTTTCCAGACTTTGGATATGCCTACTCTAGTCGAGATGTGTGGTGGAGGGACGGATGGACACACACAATGCAAGAGAACCCAGAACAGACCCACACCGATGCTTGACAAAGGCACTTCACTGAGAGAAAAGATGGCCTTTTTAAATGGTGTGGACCAACCAGACATCGATGAGCAAAGAAACAAACCTTCAACCAAGTTTCATATCTCATAAAAATTAACTCAAAATGGATCATGGACTTGACTGTAAAATCTGCAACTGCAAGACATTTAAGAAAAAAAAAAACAGAAAAAAGACAAAAAAACCTTTGGGGATTTAGGGCCAGCGGAGTTCTTAGACGACTTCAGAAGTATCATCTCTTAAAGGAAAAATTGACAAATGAGGCTTCATCAAGACCAAAAACTTGCTCTACAGATGCAATAGCACCACCAAATGCTGATCAGGGTGTAGGAAGACAGGATCTCTCACACACTGCTGGTGGGAATACAACACGGCACAGCTACTCGTGAAAAACCTGGCTGTTTCTTAAAAAACTAAACATGCAAGTGATGTACCAACAGCCACTGCACCTCCTGAACATTTCTTCCAGAAAACACGACATAGGAAAGCCTCTACATGAGTGCTTACAGCAGCTTTATTCATCAGGACCACGGACCGAAGATAACCCAGATGTCCGTCAACAGATGAATGGATAACCAAGCTGTGGGACACTCACACCATAGACCACCGCTCACGGAGCAGAGGAATGGGCTACTGAGATGTGCGGCAACCTGGGTGAATCTCCCTAGAAAAAGGCTGAGTGAAGAGGACCAATCTCAAAAGGTTACACAGTGTGAAGTCAAAGTCACTCAGTCGTGTCCAACTCTTTGTGACTGCATGGGCTATGCAGTCCATGGAGCTCTCCAGGCCAGAATACTGGAGCGGGTAGCCTTTCCCTTCTCCAGGGGATCTTCCTGACCCAGGAATTGAACCGGGGTCTCCTGCATTGCAGGTGGATTCTTTACCAGCTGAGCTATCATATCAGGGAAGCCCACTACACAGTAAACGATGCCATTTATGTCACATTCTGAAATGACACAATTTCAAAGCAGAGAGGTACATGGAAGTAAGGGACAGGCTGACCTCTGGGGTAGAGGTGGGTGGGGCGAGAGGAGTGGGTGTGGCTGTAATGGGGCAGTGGGAGCGTTCCTTTCGGGGACGGGAATGTTTGTCTCTTGACTGTTCAAGGTGTTGAACAGTCAAGGTGTTGAACCCAGGGGAGTTTTGTCCTACAGCTGTGGGAAGTCTCGGCCTCAGAAGAAACTGGGTAAGGCCACAGAAGGATCCCTGAGGTCTAATTATTTCTTAAAATTGCATGTGAATCTACAATTACCTCAGAACTAAAAGTTTTAAGTTAAAAAAACAACTTCACATATACAAAGTTACAAGCTAAGAAATCTAACTACCCTTGGGCAGTTACTGAACTTGCATGAATCAAGTCTCAAATCCCATTTGAGCCCCCGGGACTGTTCTCAGTGGCAGGCCTGGGGAGTGTGCTGCTCTGGGCAGTGGGAAGAGCTCTGCAGAGGAGACAGCATTGAAGAGGAGCCCTGGACTGCCCAGGTGGTTCAGCTGGTCGAGAATCTGCCTGCCGTGTGGGAGACCTGGGCTCGATCCCTGGCTTGGGAAGATCCCCAGGAGAAGGGAATGGCTACCCACTCCAGTATTCTGGCCTGGAGAATTCCATGGACTGTATAGTCCATGGGGTCACAAAGAGTCGGACACGACTGAGCGACTTAACGCTTCCACTTTGGAGTCTGACAAGCACACATTCTGGCTGAAAGAGGGTGGCCGTGGGGCTCCAAGCAAGGGGACACCAGGGACAGGGCCAGAGACGGGAGGAGGAACAGTCAAGCCTGTTCCTGCACCCTGGACCTCAGGGCACATCTATGGACGTGATAAGAGGCAGGGACAAGAAAGGGCTTACTTAAAGACAGTAGACGTCTCCAATCCAGACAGCTCTACATTCTATCCTTAAAGGTGGAGGGACCCTTGTGAGACCGACTGACAGGAGTGCTCACTATTACTCTGCAGTCACACCCTGGAGCACGGGTTTTGCTCCAGACTCTTTCCCATGCATCCAGAGGGCACGACCCACCCGACAGGCCCAACCCTCCCCCTTCTCCCCCAACCTGGAGAGGGCAGAGCTGCAAAGCACAGCAGCCATACCTTTTGCAGGAGCCTCATGGTTTTCCGGTTCTCCATCCTCAGAATTTTCTGGGAGCTTAATCTTTTTCTTCTTAGAATCTGATTCAACTAAGTCATTAGGAAGATTAAAAAAAAAAAAAGATTTCACATTTATAACAGCACCTACCATTTAATGAGAGGCTTACAGGGCCAGGCTCCTATAAAAAAAACCCCATCACCTTGCTCATGCCCCCAAGCACCCCAGCCCTGAGGCGGGGGGCTTCTCCTCCAAGGACAGGTGAGAGGTGGTGTTGCCTGCCGTGGACTAAGCCCAGGTTGGCCTGCCACCAAACCTTATGCTCTTTGCTGCTAGTGGTTTCAAACGGCAAGGTCTGACAGATTTTTATCCATTCCCAACTCACAGCTTAAACACTTAACAAACCCTCGGAGCGTAAGTGAGCCACAGACCTCCCGAGTGCTTGCGCTTTCTTTTGCCCGGACCGGCGTCTGCCTGCTCCCCCGCCTTGGCACCTCCATCCACCGCCCCGTCCTGGGCGCGCTTGGCCTTGCTCTTCTTCCTCTGGCTCTTCGTCCCCGAGGAGCCATTGGCCGCCTCCTGCTCAGCCTCCCGCGCCGCTTTGCACTTTTTAGGCTTCTGACTCTTTGCATTCTCCTGGTGGTTTTCGAGTCTTAGTTCTTTCTTTTCTTTTTTCCTGTTTTGCTGCCGGTCTGCCTTCCTTTCCCTCTTATCCTTCTTGGCCTCTGCACGCTCCCCCGTGCTGCTGTTTGCTTTGGAGGGTGGGACCTCGGTGTTGCTCTCTGCACACGGCTTGCTCGCTGGCTCTGCCGGCTGCTGATCTCGCCCCTTACCGACGGGTTCCTTATTATTAAGCAAAACCAGGAAACACATAAATACTCATTCCAGACACACATCATTTTATCTACTGCATAAATTTCTCTAAGGAAACTGTTGTTACTTACCATTTTATAACTGCGACCCCTACAACCCCATAGCTTACACGTAGCAATATATACACAAAGTGAGAAAAAACCACCCCCAGCCCATATTCCTCTCTGCATTTTATAGATATTTTCATTCCACTGGAAAAATGAAGGATCTCTATGTCATGGAAAAGCCAAACCTTTAATTCTGGCTCACTAGCCGCCTGTCAGATAGAAGACAAGCATGTGGGTGTGGCAGAAACAACCAGACTGATGCATCTGCAGGCCTGGGTTCAATTTCCAGCTCTGTTCACTACTAGCCAGGTGATTCAGGGCAGGTTATTTATCTGCTCCAAACCTATTTCCTCATCTATAAAAAGAAAAGGTGGTGACACATACCCGATACAGTTTATGTATGAATAAATGAGAAAGGAGAAAAGCCAAGCTTGAGAAAGCAGCTGGATGTACAGGGAGAGCTTTGTAAACTCGAGTACTAGACAGAGGTGCCCTTATCACCATCACTGTTCAGCTGGATGGCTACCCCGAGAGGGACGTCGGGGAGGGACACCTGGGTGGGACGTCAAGAATGGTAAGTAAGGAACCATGGAAACACGCGCTGGAATCAGACAGCCTGCCCATTTACTGCACCACCTGACTCAAACCGAGTGACTTCAGCTGCACTCTGACTACAGATGTGCTGCGGCCTCCATGCCTGCCCCTTCCCAAGAGAGGACGTGAGGCAAGTCACTGAACTGCTCCATAAGCCCTGATGTGTCTGCAGGGGCAGGGCCACGGTCAGCGTCGGCAGCTCCGGGGCAGCTGCGGGTGCTCTGCAAACCCCTGGACTCACGGTCAAGTTCCAGCTCTGTGAAGTAAGCGGCCAGGTGACTGACACCGTCATCGAGTCCTCCTCCTTTCAGAGGCGAGGTCACGAGGGGACCAAATGGAGGAGGACTGGCTTTCACTCCGGTACAAGCACTCTGCTGAGCTCATGAAGCCCGTAAGACCCAGTCACAGGCTCAGAGAGTAGTATTTAGGGTACTGAGACTAAACTAAACAGCTAGAGTTTTCTCAGGAGGAATTCAGAGATCAAATCATCCAGGCACACGCGGAGCGGGGAGGCGATGAGTTCAGAAAGGACCCAGGAGGAAGGGAGACCAGGCCACCTCGCCCTGTCCTACAAGTTCTGTCCTGTGGGATGGTGTGTCATGAGCTTCAACCCACCAGGGTCTGAGCACTGCAGCCCCAGGCCTGCCCCCTTTAGCCAAGTCTCCAGCTGCTGCCCTGCCTCCAATTCCTAACCAAGCCTGCCCTCGGCGCCCCAGATTCTGGGAGAGAGGGGAAACAGGAGGGGAGGAAGGAGGGAGGGAGACACACACTGACCCGCCAAGCAGTCACTCAATCAATGAGTGAACAGATTCACTCCCCATCAGCTTCCTACTTCGTTCCAGGCTCTACTCCAACGTGGTCTCTTCAGATACGATTTCACTGCCTCTGTCATGACAGCGAGACTCTCCCCTTCTTCACTCTCTGCCCTGACCTCTGCCTCCCATTTCTTTCTGGCCCTTGTCACCACCTGATATCACAGCATCAGCCCTTAGAGCAACTGTCGGTCTCTCCTGCCAGAATACAGCTCCCCCGCTGGGAAGGACCCAGGTCCAAGGGCGGCTGGGTCCATAGTGACCAACTGCGCCTTGCAGCGGGGTGGTGAGTGTTTCACCTGAGAAGGACACAAAGCCTCCAGCCCAACACCCCCAGGGCCTTGGCACCACCCCTATCTCCAACTCCAGGCACGTGCCGGGACGTTCACTGCCCAAAAGCAGTGACAATCTGCATTTTGCAGAGCTCAGAGTTTACCACGAGCTGCTTAATGGTTATCTTATTTAATTCTTAATATATTCACAGCTTCAAAATGAAATTGAAAAACTCTGTTTTTTAAACTCTGGAGTTAAGCTAAATAACCACAAACTTTAGGACTATTAGTTAAAATAATGGAAGTGAAAGTCACTCAGTCGTGTCCGACCCTTTGCAACCCCATGGACTGTACAGTCCGTGGAATTCTCCAGGGAAGAATACTGCAGTGGGTAGCCTTTCCCTCCTCCAGGGGATCTTCCCAATCCAGGTCTCCCGCATTGCAGGCGGATTCTTTACCAGCTGAGCCACAAGGGAAGCCCAAAATAATGGAAATAACCTTTACAAAAATAGGTGCCACATAAGTGCCAATTGAATGATTGGTTATAAGGTTTCACAGGGCCAGTTTGTGTGTTTAGAGACAAATGGTAGATACACTGCCAAGAGAAAGTTTCATTTTTTATCCCAATTTGTGGTCAAAACTATTCTCTCTACATAAAGCACATCAACCGCTGACAACTGTGAGGAGAATAAAAGACCAGTCAGACCCCACTGTTGTCTTGAAACACTAATGATGTCTTCAGATGGGCTATAAGCTCCAAGTAGGGGCAAAGTGCAACTGAATTAATGAGAAAAAATGTTGAACAATGGAAGCAAGGACGTGCCTACAAGATGTCACACTACAGCTTTCTGCAGGTGTGTTCCACATCTGGGGCCTCTCGGATCAAAGCATCTTCTCAGAAGGTGGTCTACTGATGTGCTCCAAGCAATCCCTTCCGCCCCGGAAGGAAGGGGATCAGCACTGACTAAGCGTCCACGCCCTGCTGGGCACGAGCTGGGAGGCTTGTACTCCCTCATATGCTTTAATACTAGGACACGACCCCTCACCCCACACCGACCAGAATACCTGATCACCCTCCCTTGTCCTCGGCCTGTTCATTTTTTCTTCCTGCCACTATCACCCACCTGAGTTGTTTTCCTGTTTTTTGTTCAGGGTTTGACATGTATCGGGCACAGTAAGTACTAAGTCTTTGGTGTTGTTGCTTAGTCACTAAAGTCACCTCCAACTCTTTTGTGACCCCATAGACCGTAGCCCGCCAGGCTCCTCTGTCCATGGGATTTCCCAGGCAAGAATACTGGAGTGGGTCGCCATGCCCTCCTCCAGGGGATCTTCCCGACCCAGGGATCAAACCCAGGTCCCCCACTCCGCAGGCAGATTCTTTCCACTGAGCCACCTGGGAAGCCACTACTGAGTCTAACGATCCACCTCTATCGAAAACAAGGAGACGAAGGCTCAGAGAGGTTAAATAAAATGCCCGAGAGCAATCACCTGGCGAACAGCAAAGCAGGGATTCAAATCGGGTCTGTCAGAAACCCAAAGCACCTGTTCTTTTCCAATCATCCCACTACCTCATGTCTAAGCCGATCAAGTCATGTCAGCCGGGAGTTGTCAGACATCAGGATTAAACACCTTTCTTTGCACAATAAGAAAATCTTTTCTGCACTGCACTCAGTGTATCCCTTCCCATTAGTGAAGGCACAAAGAGGCTCTCTGGAAAAGAAGGCTGTCTTGACCTCCAAAAATAAGACATTCCTGTTTGACTTTTACTAAGCACTTTTGCCACACTGCAAGTCTAGAGTGAGATCGGACTTACACTGCCGGAAGCTTCAGAAAAGATATTCCACACCTGCTCCAGGATAGATTCATTATGAACTTTTAAACTGTTCTTCATCCAATTCTGTATGGGGGAAAAAGAAAAAAGAAAAAAACCCCACTTATCCCATATGCTGACAGGTACACATAAGCTGTCACTGAAGTGCCCACATCCCCTCCAGTCAGGGAAGTCCAATCAAATACATACCTGAAATTTTGCCCTTTTCCTGGGAACGTTGTCAAAACCACTAATTTGCTCTAACAGTTCCCTCACTTTGGGGCTGACATTGGGTCTTTTTATTAATTCATGAATTTTCTACAGAAAAGATAAAAGCAATAAACAATCGACAGATGAGTTTCATGAAAGTCAAACTACTGGGTTTACACCTCAAGTCCAGATTCTATGTTAATGTCTATGTTTACAGATTCAACAGAGTGCTGAAGTCCAGAGCAGTTTATTGTTGTTGTTCAGTCGCTAAGTCATGTCTGACTTTTTGCGACCCCATGGACTGCAGCCCGCCAGGCTTCCCTTTCCTTCACTACCTCCCGGAGACTAAGGCAAGAAATAAAAGGCATCCACATTGGAAAGAAACAAGTAAAATGATCTCTGTTCCCAACAACATGGTCTTACATGTCCAAAACCCAAAAGATTTCACAGAAAGAATCTTTAGGACTAATTAATTTCAGGTGGTGCAGGATACAAAAATCAACACTCAAAAATCAAGCTGCATTTCCCTACACTAACAAAGAACAAACTGGAGAGGAAATTAATAAACAATTCCACTTATAATACTATAAAAAGAATAAAATACTTAGGGATAAACTTAACCAAGCAACGAGGCAAAAGACATATATACTGAAAACTAAAAAACACTGCTGAGAGAAATTAAAGAAGATACAAGCAAATGGAAAGACATCCCATGTCCAAGAACTGTAAGATGTCAACACCACTTAAAGAGATGTTCAGATGTAAGGTTCAGATGTAACCTCTATCAAAAGATGAAACATTTCTGGAGATGGATGATGGTGATGGATGTACAACACTGTGAATGTACTTGGTTGCATAGGATGCATTAATTCTTGGCTTCCTAGGCTTCTCAAGAAAGCAGGTGACAGATGAAGCTCCTTGATGAATTAGGAAGACCTTACCTGAATCCATGCCTGCTGTTTAACATCGCCTTTGTGGGTTTTACCTTCATACCCTTTGCCACCATACTTCTGATCTTCACTTATGCATTTCACGTGGTTTTTATAGTCATCACCCCTTAAAGTGAGAAAGTTCCACCATTAGAGTGATTCCCAAATCGGAGTCTCTGTGTAAAGCCAGCACGCAGTCCACACTTACCTTTCCATCTGTGCTCTGCTCGGCCACCCCACCCCTTTCACTTACTGTGTTGATAACCTCCTGGTCACATCACATTTTCCTTCTTCCCAACTGTTCAAATCCCACCACCAAACTTTCCACCCATCCACCCAAATGTCTTAAAATCATACTGATAGGCAGTATTTTTTTTAAGTCACAAGCGAATAGTCTCTAAATAAAAAAGAATTCTCTGCAACAGGGTGGCTTTATCTTAAATTACAATGGCTGTAGGATTTCCTGGTAATATACAGCGGGCAATCAATAACTAGCTGTAGACTAGGTTAAAAGGTGGTATAAAACAGTCGTATCAGGTCATGAGAAAGTTCTGGATCTTGGGAGTCTTGGGAAAAAAGGACACGTCTTTCTTATATGATTGTTCTGAAGCTCTATAGGGTCCTCAGGGAAAAGCTGGGACAAGGTCGGGGCAAAGTCCCTTAAGGAGAGACAGCCCAGTTTTCACCTGTTTCTGTGCATCCTTCCTCCTAGGATTACGTAAGAACAAAGACTCAGCAGTTTCCAGACATTTTCTTTTTAAATCACTGCTTTAGAATGAAATTAAAAGAGACTGTTTGCAAACATCCCTCAAATGCCACAGAGGCCAGTAGGGCCCACGTGCCAAAAGCTGAACCCTCTGAAGCTGAAGGCAATCAGCGCGAGAATGAGATTAGCCAACTGCAGACGACGCTCCCCGAGAAACAGTGGATGGGCGGGATCCATGCCGCCCCCTCCCCTCAGGCCTCCCCTCTCCAGAGCCCCCTTCCCTGGAAGCACCGGACACACTCAGGATCAGGAGCGCCACTCCCTCCATCGCCTCTGATTTTCTGGGGGAGCACCGAGTCTCTTCTCCGAGGCATCTCCACTGCGAATGAATAACTTCATTTTCTGGTCTGTAAATCCACCGCTTCCCTGTTATCAGCACACCGCACCGGAAACCCTGCTCAGCATGCTCACCTCCCTGGGTCCCTTAATGGTGCCAAGGACAGGACAGCAAGTGCCATGGACTCATCAGATTAAGACCAAACCCACAGCTCCCTTTTATTCTGAGTCTTCTCTTTGTATCACCTTTAAAGAGTAAACAGTCCTGGCAGGCACTACATTTTTTTCTTAATTTTCTTTTCTCAAATTTGCTCTTGCTCTCTCTTTTTTTTAATGCTTTGTGGAAGCAACGATCACATAACTGGTCTGGACATTTAGTACAGATCCACATGGACTTACCAGAAGTCTTTGCCGCAGTCGATGCAGGAAAGACATTCGCAGTTTCGGCAAACAGCCACGTGCTTTTCCACTTGTACCTTCTTCACTGATTCACCACATGCATTGCATGTAAAAAATACCATTTTTAGCTAAATAATAATTTTTTTTTTTTACCCCAGATGGGTTTTAAGCCCTGTCCTAAAAAAAAATTAAAAAGGAAAAAAGATAATTATCATTGTAATGTGAAACTTCTTTTCTAAATATATGACTCAGACAGCTAACTCTTCACATGAAAATAACACAATAGAATCAAAGCTGATTCGCAATCTACATAAACCTTTACCATCACATAAGTAAAACTGTATTCAACAACAATACCACAGCTAAAACTGGTTGAATATGTGCTCACCACACGCTGGGCTTTATTCTAAGAGCTTTACATATGTGGACTTCAACGCTCACAGCAACCCTATGAGGGAAGGACTATCGTCGTTCACAATTTACACGTGGTATTGGGACTCAGACTAAAGAAACTGTCCAAAGTCATGCAGTAGCAGAACCAGGATTTAAACCTGGCAGGCTGCCTCTAGAGATGAAGTCTGGTGACGTTTCCAATAACTTTAACTGCACACAGGCAGTCTCCTTCTCTCTACTGCCTCTAGGTGAGCACTGAAAAGTGCGCCGAGTCCCCAAATACAATAAGGACACAGCCAAAGGGGAATCAAGGAAGGTTTAGAAAGTGGAGAAGAGGCCTAAAAATCATTCCTATAAGCACAAACAGCACCCATACAGGCCTAACCATGTATCCACAGGTGTTAAAAATGCGGATGTGCGCCTCAGTTTCAGTGGACGGGAGCAGGAGTGGCCCCCTGTTGGATCAATCAGAAACCACAGAACCCTTCCAGGTATCCCAGTGCTGGGTGCTGAACTACTGGAGTGGGCTCCCAAACCCAGCCGTCCGGAGCACTGCCCCATGATTCAGTGGGTCCACACCTACACATAACTACCGTTTAAAAAGTTCATGGAGGTACTACTGCCCTCAACAAAACACAAATTCATTTAAAAGTGTGCCGGAAATCACTGTAACTTTCCAAGATTCAGTTCAGTTGCTCAGTCATGTCCGACTTTTTGCAACCCCAAGGACTGCAGCACACCACGCTTCCCTGTCCATCACCAACTCCTGGTACTTGCTCAAACTCATGTTCATCGAGTCGGTGATGCTACCCAACCATCTCATCCTCTGTTGTCCCCTTCTCCTCCTGCCTTCAATCTTTTCCAGCATCAGGGTCTTTTCCCATGAGTCAGTTCTTCGCATCAGGTGGCTAAAGCATTGGAGCTTCAGCATCAGTCCTTCCAATGAATATTCAGGACTGATTTCCTTTAGGATTGACTGGTTTGATCTCCTTGCAGTCCAAGGGACTCTCAAGAGTCCTTTCCAACACCACAGTTCAAAATCATCAGTTCTTTGGCACTCAGCTTTCTTTAAGGTCCAACTCTCACATCCATACCCGACTACTGGAAAAACCATAGCTTTGACTAGATGGACCTGTGTCAGCAAACTGATGTCTCTGCTTTTTAATATGCTATTTAGGTTGGTCATAGCTTTTCTTTCAAGGAGCAAGCATCTTAATTTCATGGCTGCAGTCATCATCTGCAGAGATTTTGGAGCCCAAGAAAATAAAGTCTGTCACTGTTTCCATAGTTTTCCCATCTATTTGCCATGAAGTGATGGGACCCAATGCCATGGTCTTAGTTTTCTGAATATTGAGTTTTTTGTTTTTTTTTTTCTTTTTTCTGAATGTTGAGTTTTAAGCCAGCTTTTTTACTCTTCTCTTTCACCTTCATGAAAAGGCTCTTCGGTTCCTCTTTTCTTTCTGCCATAAGGGTGGTGTCTGTCATCTGCATATCTTAGGTTATTGATATTTCTCCTGGCAATCTTGATTCCAGCTTGTGCTTCATCCAGCCCAGCATTTCACATGATGTACTCTGCATATAAGATAAATACGCAGGGTGACAATATACAACCTCGACCTACCCCTTTCCCAATTTGGAACCAGTCTGTTGTTTTAGGTCCCGTGTTGCTTCCTGACCTGCATACGGATTTCTCAGGAGGCAGGTAAGGTGGTCTGGTATTCCCATTTCTTGAAGAATTTTCCAGTTTGTTGTAATTCACACAGTCAAAGGCGTTGGTAAAGTCAATAATGCAGAAGTAGATGTTTTTCTGGAATTCTCTTGCTTTTTCTATGATCCAATGGATGTTGGCAATATGATTGCTGGTTCCTCTGCCTTTTCTAAATCCAGCTTGAACATTCGGAAGTTTCAGTTCACTTACTGTTGAAGACGTGTTTGGAGAATTTTGAGCATTACTTTACTAGCGTGTGAGATGAGTACAATGGTGCGGTGGTTTGAGCATTCTTTGGCATTGCCTTTCTTTGGGATTGGAATGAAAACTGAGCTTTTCCAGTCCTGTGGCCACTGCTGAGTTTTCCAAATTTGCTAGCATACTGAGTATAGCACTTTAACAGCATCATCTTTTAGCATTTGAAATAGCTCAGCTGGAATTTCATCACCTCCACTAGCTTTGTTCTTAGTGATGCTTCCTAAGGCCCACTTGACTTCGCATTCCAGGATATCTGGCTCTAGGTGAGTGATCACACCATCGTGGCTATCTGGGTTATTAAGATCTTGATTTTTTTAATCACTAGATTGTCATTTTACATTATAAATAAGTTTCACAGCAGAAATACTGAGAACAAATATTTAACCCAGCATGTTCTTCCTCATCATGAAGGTAAGGGTCAAGTACACCAATAGAGTTTGTTCAGGGTTAAGACTTCATCTGAGACTCCTCTGGCACAAATGAGAGACTACTCCTGGTTCGTGGAAAATTCTCGTGCACGAGGTCACCATCTCTCCTGCACTCCCACCTTCTGAGTCACTGCTAGACAGGACAAACCTAAGAAAGGAGCAGGGCTATTCCCATCCATTCAGCCTCGAATGAAAATGTACATCCTGGCTGCAACTCCATTGTTTACAGAGGCTCAGCTGGTCTCTCTTGGAGGTCTCTTGCCCTGCAGTTTGCCTAATGTGCTACATATAAAACGTGGGCCTCTGACCCAGGGACCCCTTCTGCAGCTCTCCATCAGGATTACATGGGGTCAGTAACAGCTGAGCAGCAAATCCAAAGGAAAGAAAGCCTGGCTGTTTTGGGATGCGCACCAACCAAGAGCAGCTTCTCACCTGGTTACAGTGAAAGACATATAAGAACAGTCACAGGTACGGGGGAGTTGGTCTCCCTTGGACTGTGACCCACTTCCCCGAAGCCAGCATTCTGCTCTCAGCAGAAGGATGACCAGGTTGCTGGCAGGCAACGAGAGCAGCCGGGCTTCCCTGGTGGCTCAGTGGTAAAGAATCCGCCTGCAAAGCAGCTTTGGTCCCTGGGTCAAGAAGATGCCCTGAAGAAGGAAATGGCTAACCCACTCCAGTATTCTTGCCTGGAGAATTCCATAGACAGAGGAGCCTGTCGGGCTACAATCCATGGAGCTGCAAAAGAGTTGGAGATGACTGAACGCACATGCATACAAAGGCCACTTTGGTTTCAATACCAGAGTAAACCATAGTCACCAAGAGATGGACTGCCATCTTACACACAAGGTGGAAGCAGCTGGGACAAACTAAATTACCTGCTGACAATGTTGAGAGTACTTTCACAATGAGAGTCAACCATGAAAAAATACCCCCTCAAACTGCAGCAATGGCCTAGAGCTTTCCAGCCTTCATTTTTGAGGTCTATCCTGTATCTTGTTTGAGGAAGAGAGGGGAGGGGAGGAAGCTTTCGGCAAGCTATGAGATCCAGTTGAGAGATGCAGCCCGCCAGGGAAGGTCAGAAATTTAAAAGGTCTGAGAAGGACGGCTGGATTTCTCAGACTGAATAAAATTTCTTGACTGAATGAAGCCAGTGATGTTGACAAAAAAAGATGCTCGGCATATCTGTGCAAAACATGTCTTCTCTCTGGTGATTAGCCACACACAGAGTAAACATCAATTCAGGAGAGAATTAGAATTTGGTGAGCATGTACATCAGAAAGATACCTCTCCAATCGTTTTCATTTGGTCTTTTGTGGCATATGCTCACATTCAGAAATCTATTGGGATTTTTTTCAAAGATAGAATGGTAGCTTGCACAGTAAGCTGGAACTCAGTCTCCCAGGGCCTTCCCCTGGATTTTTAGAGCCACGGCTGCATACTGACGCTTGATCTGCACCGCGGGCAGTGTGGCCGCCTGCCCGCTAAGGAGATAAACTCTGTAAGGAACTTACCCGTCCCTCTTCACCCAGCCCTCCAGGGAAGTACCTTTCTTTTGTGCCGTAAACACTGGTATGTGTGTCTGCGGTGGAAGAAAGGGGGTGCAAACAACCGCAAGCTCAAAACCATCCAAACTGTACAGCAGACTCAAGTGTGGCAAATATTAGTGCAGGCTTGACAATTTCAGGCGTGGACATGCTACAAACTTACAGAAAGACACCCCTGTGAAAATGGAGCCCCTCCAAATGAAAACAGCAAGCACCTCCTGTTGTACCTGGATCGTGGAATCCCACCAAACACCACAGGAGCCGAGGACAGATGCAAAAGCAGTGAGGAACTTTATTACAAGCTCGGGCAGGGACTCCCTCCACACAACCTAATGGCCATGCCGACAGAGCCCCGAGTGATGGCGGCGATCTATTTTTATACGTATAGTGGGGAAAGCGGGGAGCTTAAGGGGATTGGTTAGTTCTTTAACTAAGGATGTCTTGTTAGCTACTGATTGGTGGGTTAGAGTAAGGGGGTGAGGGACTTCCTGTCCTCTCCTGATTGGCTCATTTGAATTTCTTTGTCTTTTCTCCTTCTTCGGGGAAGTTCAGCTCAAAATGGCAGTATTATCTTAAAATGGAGTCGTTTGAATTTTACCTTTCACATTTCACATTTCCCCCTCTCTCTGTTTCTATGGAAGGCCCAATCATGGGTCTTCTATATCATCTGTGGGGACAGTCGAATACTGAGATCTGAGTATCATCAGGTGGACGGTATTCAATCTATCTTTTACAAAGGACATAATTCTATTCAATATGCAGGGACCTATAGTTAAGAGTAATAACAGTAGAATGAGGGGTCCTAATAGAGAAGAAATCAGGGTGGTCAACCAAGGGGAAGTATTAAACCAAGACTCAAACCATGATTGTTCATTTTCTCTGTCTTGTTTTCGCCTGATTAGGCCTTCTCTAACTTTTTGTAGAGATTTCTGTATCACTCCCAAGTGGTCAATATAAAAACAGCATTCTTCTGCTAGGGCTGCACATAGTCCTCCTTGTTGTAAGAAGAGCAGATCTAAACCTCTCCTATTCTGTAACACTATCTCAGCCAGAGAACCTAAGGATTCTTGGAGGTGGGAAACGGATTTTTCAAGCTGTTCAATATCTTCATCTATGGCAGCCCTCAGTCGGTTATACTGTTTATCTTGGAGCGTTAAGGCTGCAGTTCCACTTCCAGTTCCTATAGCCCTCAGTCCTAACAGGACAGCTAACGTTAGGGCAGTGACGGGCTCTCTTTTTACCCTATACTGATCTGGCATCTCTAACCGTGGTTGCAGTTCTTCTTCTGAATAATAGTTTAGCCGGGGGATTAGATGGACTAGGACACAGAAGTCTTGAGAGGTTTTTAGTGCCGCCTGATGGGCACAAGAGGTTAGTCCGGCGGAGCAAGCCCACCATCCATTTTCTGGTGGGATGATCCACTGGTGGGTGGAATTAGTGAGGTTGGCCATAGGGACTGTGTGATTACATAGGTGTTGATAAGTCTCAGGGACAGCCCCTATGCAGGTGCCTATACCCACAATGGAGCCTACTGTCAGGGGGCCCATACCAGGTTGTTGCTACCATCTATAGGCTGAGATATCGGCAGCCACATTGAATACTGAAGAAAAAGCAATTGCCTCATAGTAAGGAGGCCTAATATTATAGCAGAGCCAGCAACCATTTGTTAAGTCTGGACGAGAGGCATTAAGGGTGAGGTACGCTGAGGAGATCATTTTTATAAGGGGACCTGTAGGTGGGGACATATCAGCTATGGGGGGAGTGTGTGGAGTAGGTCCAGTATCCCGACTTTGGTTCTGGGAGGGAGGTTTAGGGGTTATCACCTGGGAAGGTGGTTTTGGGGCTATCACCTGGGAAGGTGGTTTTGGGGCTATCACCTGGTTTGGTCCCAAAGCTACCTTGGGGGCCAAATAGAGTGGTCCCAGCTTTAATTTAAGCTCAAACCAGACTCCAGTGTCATATCCGGTCTTGTAGACACGGAGGCCCCAGGCTCGGCCAAAATCCCACCTGGTAAACTTTTTCCCTTTATCAGTGAACTTAATCTGTAATGGAAAACATTGTCCAGGTTTAGACGATAGCGTCTTACATGGTGGGGAATCTTGGGGTAATTTTACCTGAATGAGGTTGTTGCCAGGATTGGTGAGCCAATGGACCGTTCCCGTAGTTTCACATCCCCAAGCGGCGCAATAAAAAGAATCAACTCCCCCACAGTTTGCAATTTGGTTCTGATCCCTCCCCCCACCTGGGCAGACATACTGGTTTTGTGCACGGTGTGTCTCCCTGGAAGGCCCAATCAAAAAGGCCAAAGGGACCGAACTGAGGGCTCCCTACGAAGTCACTCAGTTGGCTGGGGCCATGGAAGCCATTATTATCAGCTGCCAGGATGCACAAATCGACAGTCAATACGGACCACCATGTCCCTTTGGGGGCCACATTGGTCGAATTGAGTATTTCTCCCATCTCAGGGTTGTAGACTATCCAGGTCATGTTAACCAGATGGTGTGGATTGGCTAAGGTAATTTCCTGGAAGACTGCCCAGAGTACAAAGTACCTTAAGAGGGAGATGCTTCTTTGGGGCGTTTCCAGAGTTTTAGCTTGAGTGGATTGTCTGGATGCTTGGAGACTCTCCATTGTGGCAGAACCTCGTGGATGTCGGTAAAAGGATCAGGAGGCCTCACATGCAAGAAGTGGACCCACGTTGAGATGCCGTCCACCTTGAGGGCCGTTGGTATGACTAAGATGACGGAGTAGGGTCCTTTCCAGCGTGGTTCGAGGGTGCCTGAGTGGTGTCTTCGCACATAGACCCAATCTCCTGGCCGAAAACGATGCAGTTCAGGTGGTGGCTTGGTGAGGTATAGGGCTTCTAGCCGTTTCCAAATGTCCTTGTGCACCCGTTAGAGGAGTCGGAGAGAGGAAAACAGAGCATCAACAGGCAAGTCGGCTATTAAATCAGTCTTTAAACTAGGTACAATAGGGGGAGGTCTCCCGAACATAATTTCAAAGGGGGTTAACCCCAACGTGTAGGGTGAGTTCCGCACCGAGAACAAGGCAAAGGGGAGGAGAGCCACCCGGTCCCCGCCAGTCTCTAGGGTTAATTTGGTCAAGGTCTCTTTTAAGGTTCTGTTCATTCTTTCTACTTGCCCTGAACTCTGGGGTCGATAGGCACAATGTAATTTCCAATTTGTCCCCAGAACCGCCGCCAGTCCCTGACTTACCTTGGAGACAAAGGTGGGACAGTTATCGGAACCTACCTGTACAGGGAATCCGAACCGCGGCAGGATCTCTTCTAAGAGTTTTTATGTTACTACCTGAGTTGTCTCCTTTTTTGTTGGGTAGGCCTCTACCCACCCAGAAAAAGTGTCAATGAAGACTAGTAGGTATCTATGTCCATATTGTCCTGGTTTTACCTCAGTAAAGTCTACTTCCCAGTAGGCTCCAGGGCGTGTTCCTCTTTCTCTGGCTCCTTTAGTTGCTTCTGAAGTCTTGGTTGGGTTTGTTAGCTGGCAACCCTTACAGTCTGAGGCAATTTTTTCTATTTTCACCCGGTAGTCTTTGATGACAATCTTTGCAGTTCTGATGAGATCCTGCACTTTTTTCGCCCCTAAATGGGTTGCATTATGAATTCTCCAGAGCAGTTCTGTCCCCAGTTTTTCAGGTAGGATAGGCGCTGACTTAGCATCTTTCCACCAACCGTTTTTAAATTGAGTCATAGGTAAGGAGTTAATCCATTCTATATCTGTTTCGCTGTCTTCGGGGCTATCGGGTAGAGTCATGGTCCCTGGATCAGGGAGTCAAACTGCCAAAACTGGGGTAACAGATGCTAGAGCAGCCTCCTTGGCTGAAAGATCAGCCAGTCGATTGCCCATTGCCACGGGGGAGTCGCCTCTTTGGTGGCCTGGGAAGTGGACTATGGCCAGTTTCTTGGGCAGCCAGAGAGCTTGTAGAAGCTCAAGAATTGTCTCTTTATTTTTTATAGTTTTTCCTTCAGCCGTCAGGAGCCCCCTCTCTCTATAGATGGCCCCGTGTATGTGCGCTGTGGCAAAGGCGTATCTGCTGTCAGTATAAACGGTCAGGTCTTTTTCTTTACCTCTTTTGAGTGCTTCAGTCAATGCTATAAGTTCGGCTTTTTGGGCCAAAGTCCCATGGGCCAAAGGGGCAGCCCATATGACTTCTGTCTCAGTGGTCACAGCCGCACCCACATACCTTTGTCCATTTTGTATGAAGCTGCTCCCATCCGTGTACCAAGTCAGTTCAGCATCCGGAAGGGGGACGTCTTTCATCAGCTCGGACCCCACATCCCTGAGCCAGGATGTCAGCACAGTCATGTAGTGGAGCGTCCAGGTCTGGATCCGGCAGGAGTGACGCTGGGTTCAGGGTAGTTGGCGGCTGAAAAATGGTCTTGGTAGGGTTTAGTAGTAGTTCCTGGTAATGGGTCAGTCTAGCGTTACTGATCCATCGATCTGGAGGTTGTCTCAATATACCCTCTATGGCATGAGGGGTTGTTATTTGCAGTTCTTGTCTCAGGGTTAATTTGCCAGCGTCTTTTACTAACAAGGCCACAGCAGCCACCATACGCAAGCAGGGGGCCATCCACTAGCCACTGGGTCCAGTTTTTTTGAAAGATATGCCACTGATCTTTTCCAAGGTCCCAGTCTCTGGAGTAACACCCCTTTGGCTACCCCTCTGTTCTCATCTTCTTAGAGAAGGAAGGGCTTAGTGACGTCAGGTAGACTTAGGGCAGGGGCCGCCAGGAGGGCTGTCTTAATGTCCTGGAAGGCTTTATCCATTTCCTCTGTCCAGGCAAATGGTATAGTCTCTTTTGTTGCCTGGTATAGTGGTTTTGCCATTTCAGCAAAACCTGGGATCCATAATCTACAGAATCCAGCAGACCCCAGAAATTCTCTAATTCTGCGTTGATTCTGGGGCTTAGGGATCTTTAACACAGTCTCTTTTCTAGCTTTGGACAGCCACCGCTGTCCTTCTTTTAATATATATCCCAGGTAATGAACCTCTTGTCTGCCAATTTGTGCTTTCTTTGCAGAGGCCCGATATCCCAGCTCACCTAATGTATATAGCAAATCTCTGGTTGCCTCCAGACAGGTTTGTTGGGATTCTGTGGCCAACAAGAGGTTGTCCACATACTGTAGCAAGGTAACTCGTGGGTGTTGGATACGGCACTCACCCAGGTCCTCATGTAATGCTTCGTCGAAGATCGTGGGCGAGTTCTTGAATCCTTGTGGTAGTCTTGTCCAAGTTAGTTGCCCATGAATGCCTTCCTCTGGATCTGACCATTCGAAGGCGAAAATTTTCTGGCTTTTGGGTGCCATGGGAAGGCTAAAAAAAGCATCTTTTAAGTCTAGTATGGTATACCACTGGTGATTGGGGTTCAAGGAGCTCAAAAGAGTATAGGGGTTTGGTACTGTGGGGTGGATGTCCATCACCCATTGGTTAACTTGTCTCAAATCCTGCACTGGCCTGTAGTCATTGGACCCCGGCTTTCTGACTGGGAGAAGGGGGGTATTCCAGTTGGACTGGCATGGGTGTAGGATGCCCTGAGCCAACAGCCTGCGTATATGAGGGTGAATACCCCTTTGGGCCTCTTGTGGCATCTGATATTGCTTGACTCTGACGGCCTCTGCTTCTGGTTTTAATTCAGTATAGATTGGGGGCCGATGTTTGGCTAAGCCTGGGCCTCCGGTTTCTGCCCAGGCTTGTGGGTATTCATTAGGCCACTGTTGCATATCAGCCTCAGGGGCTACTTCGGAGGGGCCTTGGTGTAATCTGTACTCATCTTCTATTTGCATGGTTAGAACTTGTACCGGCCTACCGGCCGGGTCCGTAACATTCACCCCCTCAGGTGAGAAATGGATCTGGGCTCCTATTTTGGTCAGCAAGTCTCGCCCCAGCAGAGGGTAGGGGCAGTCTGGTATGACCATGAAAGAGTGGGATACCCGGCCCGTGCTCAGATCTAGGTTTCTTCGGGTAGTCCATGAATATTTTTTCATACCAGTGGCCCCCTGCACCCATGAAGTCTTTGAAGAGAGTTTTCCCCGTGCGTCAAGCAGGACAGAATGTTCGGCCCCAGTGTCCACTAAAAACTCAATTGGGGTCCCCTCCACTTTCAAGGTTACCCTGGGCTCGGGGAGGGGTTCCAGGCCCCGTCTCCCCTAGTCGCTCAGGTCCCCCAGAGCCAAAACATTGGTTCCTTGTTTGAACTTCTTAGGGCAATCTTTAACGCAATGTCCTTCTTTTTTACAATATGCACACTGGTTCCGTCCTAATTTTGGTTTTTCCTGGGGGTTAGTTTTCGGCTTACATTCTGTCAGTTGTCTCAATCTCTTCTCTCGTTCATTAGGCTGGGCGCTGGTGGCGGCCAGGAGAATGCGAGCCATTTTTCGGGTCTGCCAGTCGGCGGCTCTAGTCTGCTTCTCTTCAGGTGTTTCTCGGTTATTATAAACTTTTATCTGCTACTGCCATCAGATCTTGAATAGATTTTTCACCTAGTCTATCTATCTTCTGTAACTTCTTCCTTATATCTGGGGCAGACTGATTAATAAAATGCATCATTAAGGCTGACCTGGTATCCTCTGCCTCAGGGTCCAATGGGAGTGTACTGACGGAATGCGTCCATCAGTCTCTCCAGGAACGCCACTGAACTCTCTTCTCTCCCTTGGTGTACATTGCCTACCTTAGCCAAATTAGTGGGCCTGCGAGCAGCCACTTTGAGACCCCCCAACAGAGTCTGGCAGTAGACCCGGAGCCGCTCCTTACCTTCCGCCATGTTATAGTCCCAATGTGGCCTAGACAAAGGGAAGGAAGAGTTAATCGTCGCAGGGTTAGCCGTGGGTTGCCCATTATCTCTCGACACCAGTTTCCGCGCCTCGAGCTGGATCCTTTCTCTTTCTTCTGTGGTGAATAATATCTGGAGTAGCTGCTGACAATCGTCCCACGTAGGTTGATGAGTAAACAGAACAGTTTCTAACAAGTTAATAAGCTCTTTAGGTCTCTCTGAAAATGGGGCGTTCTGGGTCCTCCAATTGTATAAATCACTAGTAGAAAAGGGTCAATATTGAAGGGGCTGATTTCCATCAGCATCAGGGGGACCCAGAGCCCTAAGAGGAAGGATAGCTACGGAAGTAGAGTTGGCAGGCCCCCCGGGGGAGGCAGCCCTACGATTTCGGGTGTTCACTGCAGGTCCTCCCCCAGCCGCTTCTGGAGAAGGTTGGGGAAGTGGGGGTTCAGGCTGAATAGGAGCGGGGAGAGAATATGGTGGAGGTGTGATAAGGAGATCAAGAAGAGTGGAGTCTTCCTGTAAAACAGGGGCAGAGGGGGCAGCCGGAGGCTTTTTCTTTTCTTCAGCCACTAAGATCTCCATGGCTGCTGCTGCCTGTGGAGGTAAAAAGGGTTGGATCCAAGGGGCTGGGCTGACTATTAGATCTTCCCAAACCAGGATATATGGGACCTGGTCTGGATGTCTGCTTCGAGGTCTGAGGATGATTTCTTGGACTCTCCGGACAGTCTTTAAGTCTAAAGTCCCTTCAGGAGGCCAGCCTATGTTAAAGCTGGGCCATTCAGCACTGCAAAAGATAACCATCCAAGATTTCTTAATTTCTACACTCAGATTATGAGCT